CCACCACAAGGTATTTATATTTATCTAAAAGAAATAAAAACATTCATAGCAGCTGTATTAAGAGCCAAAGTAGGCTGGATGCAGGTGGCTCAGGCCTCTAATCCCAATGCTTTCAGAGGCTGAGGTTGGAGGCTCACTTGAGGCCAGGAGTTTAAGGCCAGCCTGGACAACACAGCAAGACCTCATTTCTGCAAAAAATTTACAAATTAGCCAATCACAGTGGCACAGGCCTGTAATCTCTACACAAGAGGTTAAGTTGGAAGGATCACAGAGACCAGGAGTAGAAGGTTGCAGTGAGCTATTACTGCACCACTGTATCCCAGCCTGAGCAACAGTGCAATACCTTGTCTCTACATTTTTAAAAATCAAGCCAAAATATATAATACAGTTAGGACTCTGTATCCATGAATCCAACCAACTGTGGATCAAAAATATTCAGAAAAAAATTTAAAAGTACAAACTGAAAACAATACAGCCTGGGCACAGTGGCTCAAGCCTGTAATCCCAGCCCTTTGGGAGGCTGAGGTAGGCAGATCATGAGGTCAGGAGATCAAGACCATCCTGGCCAACATGGTGAAACCCCGTCTCTACTAAAATAAAAAAATTAGTCAGGCGTGGTGATACACACCTGTAGTCCCAGCTACTTGGGATGCTGAGGCAGAGGAATCACTTGAACCTGGGAGGTGGAGATCACAGTGAGCCAAGATTGTACCACTGTACTCCAAGCCTGGCGAAAGAGTGATCTCAAAAAAAAAAAAAAAAAAAAAAAAAAACAGTATCATACTGTTAGGCATTATAAGTAATCTAGAGATGACTTAAAGCACATGGAGGGGCCGGGCGCGGTGGCTCAAGCCTGTAATCCCAGCACTTTGGGAGGCCGAGGTGGGTGGATCACGACGTCAAGAGATCGAGACCATCCTGGTCAACATGGTGAAACCCCGTCTCTACTAAAAATACAAAAAATTAGCTGGGCATGGTGGTGCGTGCCTGTAATCCCAGCTACTCAGGAGGCTGAGGCAGGAGAATTGCCTGAACCCAGGAGGCGGAGGTTGCGGTGAGCCGAGATCACGCCATTGCACTCCAGCCTGGGTAACAAGAGCGAAACTCTGTCTTAAAAAAAAAAAAAAAAAAAAAAAAAAAAAAAAAAAAAAAGCACATGGAGGATATGCATAGATTACATGCAAAATACTAATAAAATACATGCAAATACTAATGCATTTTCCTTACTTAGTCTACATTGGCCTTACCCTAGGACCAAAATGTTTCCAAATTCAGAATTTCTTGGATTTTAAAATGGTACACAGTACATATACTGTGTATTCTCTAAAACTCGCTTGAAAATCTGGGCAGCACCCTGAAATCAAATACATTAATATTCCTCTAGCAAAAGGTATTATTATTTACATCAAGAGAAAAGACTACAAATGTTCTAATGTCAGATTAGGTCAGATGTTATCATCAAATATGTTTTATCAAAAACTTGGTTTTTAGGGTTTTTTATATATCAAAAATTGTGGATAAGGGGTTGAGGACCTGCACTTGCTTCATGTCAACAGTGAGTTCCATACATCACCTTTTTTTTTTTTGAGATGGAGTCTTGCACTGTCACCCAGGATGTAGTGCAGTGGCGCGATCTTGGTTCATTGCAATCTCCACCTCCTGGGTTCAAGCAATCATCCTGCCTCAGCCTCCCAAGGAGCTGGGACTCTAGGTGTGCGCCACCACATCCAGCTAATTTTTTTTGTATTTTTAGTAGAGACGGGGTTTCACCATGTTGGCCAGGATGGTCTCGATTTCCTGACCTCGTGATCCACCCACCTCGGCCTCCCAATGTTTTGGGATTACAGGCATGAGCCATTGCACCCGGCCCTACATCACCTTTTTTTAAACCTCCCTAGCTAACTCACTTTCTTTAAAAATTTCCTATCAACATGCAAGTTTTAAAGTAAATTAATCACATTTATGCTATAAATGCCAAACCCTTCATAAAGAAACAAGTTTACCAAGCATGAGTTCTACAGATTATTGTGACTGTTTATTCTTTGAAATAGTAAAATAAATCAAAACTCAAAAGCACAGACCTGTAGAAAAACATCTCTTTAGCAAAGCCTGAAACACAATTCTTTTTACCATAATAGGTAAGCAATATGAGAAGCCAGTCTTGACAACAAAACATAGGTATTTACCCAAAGGTTTCAAATCTACAAAAGCTTATCACTGAAGACCTGCCTCCAAAAAAAAAGAAAAAAAAAGAAAAGAAAAAAAAAAAAAGCAGCAGTACAGAAGCAAACCTCTCAAAACTCTATTTCTAAATAATGCTAAGCAGCTCACAATCTGCAACCATAAAAGAGATATATTTTTTTCAGATTAATTTAAGGACCCACATAAAGCAATGAGCCTTTGCAGAGAAACAAGAGAATGCCATCTTTACACTGCTTTAGTTTTGAAATCCAGCTCTATCTGTGCCTGATGATTGCTAGCACTTTTCTGATGGCAAATTCAAATGATGCCACTCACTCAAAATTATGTAGCAAGAAATAGTTGCAAATAAAACCATTTTCCTTTGAAAAGAAAATTTAAAGCAATTAACTAAAAACATGCTAAATGTGCACAGGAGAAGTGAACTAAATTCAATGAGCACTGTGATGTACCAAGCACTAAGCTAAGCACTTTACATGTTATCTCATATAACTTTATTTCCTACAGAGTTTTACTTTCTAAGCATAGCCTACTGAAAGCATCATACAAGAATTTCTAGTGTACTTCATCTTCTTTTGTCATCATAGGAGTATACAACTTTTAATGGTACTTTCTGAGCTCCTGAAGTTAGTGTCGCAGCTGTGTTTGCTTTAAATTATATTCCTTTAAGTTTTCTGTTAAAGACAAAATATTTATTTTCTATGGCAAAACCAAAAAATAAATGCCATATGCTGTAAAACAATGACCAATTGTGAAATGCAACTAACTGCTAAGATTTCAGATCTTTAAAGTGATACCAGCCATTATTTCACCAGTATTTCAGGAAATATAATTTTTATAACTCCTTTTAAACATTAATTTACAGTTTCAGTCTGGAAAGATGAAAAGATTCCAGAGATGGATAGTGGTGATGGCTGCACAACAATGTGAATGTTATTTTTTTTTTTTTTTTTTTTTTTTTTGAGACAGAGTTTCGCTCTTGTTACCCAGGCTGGAGTGCAATGGCACGATCTCGGCTCACTGCAACCTCCGCCTCCCGGGTTCAGGCAATTCTCCTGCCTCAGCCTCCTGAGTAGCTGGGATTACAGGCATGTACCACCATGCCCAGCTAATTTTTTGTATTTTTAGTAGAGACGGGGTTTCACCATGTTGACCAGGATGGTCTCGATCTCCTGACCTCGTGATCCACCCGCCTCGGCCTCCCACAGTGCTGGGATTACAGGCTTGAGCCACCGCGCCCGGCAATGTGAATGTTATTTACGACACTAACCTGTACACTTAAAAACAGTTACAAATGGTAAATTCTGTATATGCTACAACAAAAAATTAATTCTTTCCAATATTTCATACAATAAAGTATACATAAATTATAAAATTATTACTTTTAAAAAATTGAGTTTATCAATTTTGCAACAGAAGCACCAGGAACTTTATTCCAAAGGAATAAAGGACACTTTTTGGCTTGGTAAGGTTTACTGCACCTCAAGCATATTTAATCAACCAGAAGCAGAAATAACAGTCTGTCAAATCATCAGCATCTGATGTCAGCTCTCGTATCAGTAATGTGTCACCTTAATATAAGTGTTTTCTGAGCATGTAAAACGTTTCACTTTTAAAAACAGCCCTCATTTTTTAATAATTTAGAAAGTAATAAAAAATGCATGACCATATTACATGTATAAACTACCTTACATTCAAGCTCGGAATAACTCTAGTAATTATGATTAATATCATTAAAGATCTAAGATATCAAAGTGAATTGCAAAACGTTTCGATCTAGGATTTAGCATGAACCTGATGAATACTTGAGATTCGCTGTACTATTTTTAACTGAACTTTCTGGCCTTAGGTCAAAGTTTTGCTAGCAAAACACCAAAGCGAAAATGCTGGAGTGCAGCCCAGAGTCGCTGCGTTAGCCTAGGAAAAGCTATGCCATCCATGCAACCAATCTTACTCCCAATTAAAGACTTTCAAAAACTGCTCCCATGAAAACACAGGAGCACACTGACCTGAAAATCAGTAAAATATCACACACAAGTTACACAATATAGCACATCACTACTTTCTGTGCACTGTGCAGAAATACACACATAGCTTAAGTCAGTTCCTGCATTTTGACCAAACAGGATTGAGTCACTCTGCAAACGATGCCTCAAACTTCAAAGGATAACCAACCGCCTCTGACGACAAGTCAGTCCGTCCATCCCTGGAAAGGGAGGAGGCAGTTTTTCTCATCAGATAGTAAGGTTTATCCCAACAGGGAACAGAATATCTGCATTCCAACACAGAATGTCTAACGGATCTAAGGACCTCCCACCCTAATTCTAGTCTTCCAGAGTCATTTTAATATGCAGAGTAACTTTTTCACTTTTCTTCTCCCCAGGGTAAAAGTCCACACCCCCTTTTCCCATAAATGCGTCTACACTGCACAGTACTCAAATTGCGAAATACAATCGTCTATCCTAACAAAAATACGAAATAAGCCAGCATTCTATCCTAACAAAAATAAACAAGCCAACATTCTACGGTACATTTCTATTTTGTAAAACATGCTTTCTTAATCAAGAGCCAATTAGCAGCCTTTACGGTGCTATTAATTTGGATTTCAAAGGCCGTTTTAGGAAAGAGACGCAATGAAAAGGAGAGATTTATTCTACTCCACAATTCAGACGTCTTTGGCTCTGGCGCAGCAATCTTGGGAAATTAAATTTACAGCAATTAAAATGTACTAAATGGCAAGTATGGAATGTTCAAACGCAAATGAAAACAGCAAAACTTTAGCTATGTGTTCCAAGATTTCAGACTAAAAGAAGAGAGTGAGGGCAGCTCTTTGTCATGTACCCCAGTGGGTACCCGCAACAGGGCCAGCATCAGGTTTCTCTCTCCTTTGCTCGCACCAAGTCACCTCGTAGCATGACACTTTCAAACCGGCTAACCTGGGGCATGAAGCATGGCCAGTCCTCCACCCACCTCCCAAACAGAGTGGGTAGGCGGAAGGAGAAGAGGGGTGTTTCCTCCCAGTGCTGCAAGAAAGGAGCAGCCGGGGATGACACCAGCTCCAGCAGGAGGTAGAGTGTGGACTCAAAGGCGGGTCGCTACTCTGGGAACTTGGTGGCCGAAGCGTTCGGTCTCCGGTCCCGGCTGCCGGAAGCAGGGCGGGGTGGGGCAAGACCTCCCCCTCCCCACGGGCGGACGGGCACCGAGGGCTGGGCGGAGAGGGAATCTGAGGTGTGAGCTGCGAGCAGACTCCGGAGCCCCGGCCACCTACCAGCAAGCTCTCCACGTTGATGGGGGAACGAGGGTCTCGGATCAACGCCTCCAGGTTCCTCTGGCGGCTCGCGCCGGCCCCGTCCCCCGGCACGGTCTCGGGGGCGCCGGGCATTTTCCCCGTCGGCGGGGGCCGGCTCATGCCGCCACCACCAGACCCGCACTCCGGCTCCTGGCGCTCAGGTCCGGCAGCCTAGGGGCCTAGCGCCGCCCCCGAAACACCAGCTTCGGCCGGGACTCCACCCGGGCCCACCGCTCGCCTCTAGCTCCGGCTTCGGGTCTCAGCGGCGGTCGCCTGCCCGAGGCTACTGCTAGGAGCCCGCCCGGCCCGGCCCTGCCGGGAGCGGCAGGGAACAGACTGCGTCCCCGCCCCTCAGTCAGATTCGCGCCGCCGGTCCGCTGGTCCGCCGCGAGCGCCCGCAGGAGTCCTCGGGCGGGAGCGGGGAAGTGGCGCCGCCACCGCCGCGGCCCGGGCCGCCCCGCCCTCTGGGGCCCCGGGAGGCTGAAGTCCAGGCCTGGGCCACTACGGCCGCCGCCGGCCCGCTGCCATGGTCGCCGCCGGCCGCCTTGCAGTCTTTCACCCCGCTCCCAGCGCACACACTCCCGCGCTGCCGCCCGTCTCCGGCCGCGCGCCGCCGCTACCCACAAGCCCCTCCGCCCGTGGCCGCCGGCGCGCGCCCCCGCCCCGTCCGCGCGCGCGCCCTGCCCCGCCCCGCGCGCCGCGCTTCCTCTCTTTCTTTTCCCTCCTGCGTCTGCCCCGCTCCGCTTTCTCCTCTGCGCCCCTTCCTCGCCCGCCCCCGCCTCCTCCCCCTGGCGGGGTTCTCTGAGGCGAATGGCCAGGCGCGCAGTCACAGCCGAGCTCCTGCTGGGGGAGGGGAAACGCGCCCGACCCCGGTCCTGCCGCGCTACCCCCGCCCCTTCCGCCGGACCCTGCGAGCGACCCCGGGGACGACCTCGCCGCCCCGAGGCTGAACCCCGACGCCGGGCCCGACGCAGTCGCGCGCTGGGGGGAGCCCGTCCGCGCCCCCCGCCCCTGCCCCCGCTGACTCAGCGCGCAGCTATGCGGGCCTCGCCTCACCCGCGCCAAAATAATAGCGACTGAGCTCGGCGCCCGCGAGGGGCCGCAGGACCTGGGGGGTTCGAGACGGGCTTGGGAGGGGGCCCTGGGTGTCGGGGATTCCGAATGAGCGGAAGCGAGTGGAATGCTGGTCCTGGGGCAGGACGGCCTGGGATCCTGAAAGCGTTTCTGCCCGGTGTAGACACTAACCACGTCGAGAGAGCGGGAGAACACCAGAAAAACGCTTTCCAGCCGCAGGCCTTCGCCGGGTCCTCTCCTTTTGGGGGGCGGAAAAGGGGTGGTTATCGGGGCCGCTCCTCCGCATTCCAGCCCTCTCTGCGGCCTGTGCCATCGCTCAGATCCGCCCAGGGCGCAATCCGAAAAATATGTGCCAGGAGCTATAAAACCGTTCTTAGAGCCCCTTTGACCCAGTAAACCCATTTAAGGAAGTACATTTCCAAGGAAATGATCCAAAGGGCGAAGGAGGGGGAGAACTTGCGGAAAGATGTTAACAGCAGGGCTATTCACAATGTTGGTGATGACCAAAACCTGGGAATGGGCCCAGTTGTTCAACTGAGTAACCCAAACAAGGGCCGTCACATTAACAGCAAGAATCCTGGCAGGTATGCAACTGTCAAACATGAAATTTTGGCAAGAACATGAGAAGGTATATTAGAAATAAATGAAACAAAAAAAATCGTTTGTACACACTAAAACTATGTAAAATGAGCAGCTGTAAGAACCAGAGAATACAGTAGTAGTTCTTAATTGAATGGGATTTTTTTTCTATAAAGATGCTTAAGAACACATTAAAATTTCAAAAAATGGAAAAACAACTCGGAAAAGCAACAATCTGATATCCATTAAGTAATAAGAATGTTACGAGCTGTCTCCCTCGCATGTCGGAGATGAACCCGCAGATACGGTAAAGCCTCAGCCTTGTAAAAGTCGCATTTTGATCCAAACAATTGGATTAATTGGAGCCTCTTCTTTGGTTTTGGGTTAGTTGAAGCCATCCCTACTTGGACTCATTCAGGAAGCGGATGATCCAGCCAATACAGCTTTTTCCTTTCAGATAATAACACTGGCTTTGCATCCAAAGAGTCCTTTAAGTCTGTGTGTTGGGTTACTCATTCAGACCTCCACACAGGCCACCAGGAGAACAGAGAGAGCTAGACACTCCCACTTATGCACTGGAGCAAAATAATGAGATAATCTATGATTATGGATTCTTTTTCTGATGGCAAAATGATATGCAAGGCAAAAGGAGCACTATGTCTAGCAGGGCGTGGTCGTGTGCACCTGTAGTCCCAGCTACCCTGGAGGCTGAGGCAGAGAGGCCTGTCCATTGAGCCCAGGAGGCCAAAGCTGCAGTGAGCTGTGATCACACCATGCACTCCAGCCTGGCAACAGAGTGAGATTCTATCTCAAAAACAAAATAAACAAGCAAACAAAAAAAACCACTGTGTGGTTCTCAGTTTCCAAATTAATTTTGACTGGATGTGTGTAGCTTGGTTGGAATAACAGGAAGCCATGAAAACTGTATTTTTTTTTTTTTTTTTTTTTTTGAGACGGAGTTTCGCTCTTGTTACCCAGGCTGGAGTGCAATGGCGCGATCTCGGCTCACCGCAACCTCCGCCTCCCGGGTTCAGGCAATTCTCCTGCCTCAGCCTCCTGAGTAGCTGGGATTACAGGCACGCACCACCATGCCCAGCTAATTGTTTGTATTTTTAGTAGAGACGGGGTTTCACCTTGTTGACCAGGATGGTCTCGATTTCTTGACCTCGTGATCCACCTGCCTCGGCCTCCCAAAGTGCTGGGATTACAGGCTTGAGCAACCACGCCTGGCCGAAAACTGTATTTTAAGAGTAGTGATCAACAAGATATATATCCTGGGTATCTTCTACATATACTCATTTACATAGACCAGAAAAAGTCATGGTACAGAAGATTTTTACCCAAGACCTATCCCATTGTCTACCTGGAAGAAGAGAAAACAAATCTCTTAATATGAGTTAAACCTTTTTGCAGGATGGGGTAAGGGGGGAGATTACTACAACAACTCTTGTTTTCAAAAGTAATACACAAATGGGTTGTTGTAAAAGTTCAAACAAACTGGAAATATATAGAACATAATCTAAAAAATCACTCTTCCAACTCTACTTGCACACACATTCTTATATCACCCAAGGCCTTTATCTGCCCTGATACATATGTATTAAATATGCATGCATTACCTTTTCCCCACATACATGTAATTATACCATATCATAGTGTTTTGCAACTCGGTTTTTTCCCTCAATTACTAATATGTCCCAGAGGCATGTCCATGTCTGTAGGCAGAGATCTCCTTCATTCCTCTGTCCTCTACTCCACAGTTTGGATGTGACACACTGTAATTATTCTCTATTGGAGAGCATAGTGGTTAAGAAACAATTGCCAAAATCCTGGCCCAAATACACACTTGCTGTGTGACCCTGAGCAAGTTACCTAATTCCTGTGTGTCTCGGTGTCCTCACAATACTTGTTATAAAGTGCTTAGAAATGCGCTGGCCCTCAATCAATGCTAGATAGTATTCATGTTTTCTCACTGTCACAATGATCCATTGACATCCTTGTATACTTTTTGCATTCATATTTGAATAGTTTAGATTCCTAAAAGTGGAGTTGTTGTAACCAAGGGTAGGCATACTATAAATACAGATACTGCCAACCTGTCCTTTATTTATTGTTATTTATTTTTTTAAGACAGGGCCACGTTCCATCATCCAGGCTGCAGTGCAGTGGCATGAGAGATCTCAGCTCACTACAAGCTCCACCACTGGGGCTCCAGTGATCCTTCCACCTCAGCCTCCTGAGTAGCTGGAACTGCAAGCACATGCCACCATGCCTGGCTAATTTTTGTATTTTTTGTAGAGACAGGATTTTGTCCTGGTGCCTAGGCTGGTCTTGAACTCCAGAGCTCAAGTGATCCATTCACCTCAGCCTCCCAAAGTGCTGGGATTACAGGGGTGAGTCATGACGCCAGGTCTCAACCTGTCCCTTAAAAAGACTCTACTTGTTTACGTTCTCAGCATGAATAGAAGAAACTGCCGATTTCCCTTCACCTTTCCCAGTATTCAATATTATAAATATTTTTAATTTTTGTCAATAAAACAGGCAAAAAAAAAAAAAAGACATCTTGTCCTAACTTGCATTCCCTTAATTGCTACTGAAGATAGCCATTTTGTGTATCTATTTCTTTTGAAATTACCTGTTTATATCTTTTATCCATTAGTTTTGCCTCTTTTTTATGATTTATAGGAGCTCCTTCTGTATTTTGGATATTCCTCCTTATTGTATTATAATAGAATATATTAAAATTTGTTAGAGTTTGTGAAGATTTTTTTCCAATCTGTTGCTTGTCATTCAGTTTTGTTTTTTGGTATCTTTTGTCACACAAGTTTTTACCTGTTTTACAGTCAAATTGGGTGATATTGTCCTCTACAGCTTCTGGGTTTTGTATCTGTGTTAAAGAGGATTTCCAACCCAGTTTTTAGGCACACAGAATACTGAAATTGCAACAGGCTATGAGGAAATGGCAGTTTCCTAACACTCAGCTCAGCTCATGCCGAAGTAGCTGTGGAAGGAGGTTCCCTGGGCTTGCTCCTCCAATGGAACTCCTGCTGTGTTTCCTGCTGCTAGGCCACTCTGTCCAGGATTGACTACTCCTTTCTAACAGAGTAACCAGTGTGTCCTGAGCACAGGTGAGACAGGCAGGAACTTGGACAGAAACTTTTGTTCAATAGTAAGGAAGAATAATGGAAAAGTAAACATAGAAAATACAGGACATTTAACCAGGCTGGCCTAAAAATGGATAAGCCTTGGATTGTACCATAACTGTTCATGGCTTGCTCTGCAGAACTTAGAAGCTCCACTCTGTTTCATATGAATTTCTTTTCTCTGGCTCTTCATTCCCAAGGGTCTATTTGACATCCACTACCCAACACTGCCTTCCTAGCCCTTCTGACGCTTCGTCACCCAAACTGAGGGTCCAGACCTCCTTCTCTTCTCTGAGATCCATCTCCTCAATGTCAGTTTTTGACTTGAGGGAACTGCCTCTTCCTCAATAATTAATTCAACCTTCAGATGCAGCTCTATCCTCTCCACCCATAGCTAGGGCTGGAAAAGGACCATTTTTGTCTTTTGACCATGTGGCTTTTGTAATTACTTTTTTAAAATGATAATAATTATTATTTTAAGGGCTTACTATGTGCTAGGCAGCATGCTTTATAGAGATTATCTTAATTCTCGAAACAGCCTTTGCTTACAGTAATATTACTATGCCCATTTTACAGATGATGTAATAAGGACTCACATATGCACATGGAGTGAATAAACGAATTGAGGAATGGATGGGTGAAAACAACAAACTGTGAATGGTCCAGCCATCACCAATAAGACATGTAACAATTTTTCCCATCTTGCTTCACGCTGCCAGCAACTCGGGCTGGCCTTGTTGTAGTGAGTTGCCTCTGTTCCACACAAGCCAGGATTTAACAACAGAATAAAGGAGTGAACTTGCAATACAAAGGTGTCATTATCTTTGTAAACTCCTCTACTATAAAGGGTTCAGGGTTTAATGGTTTTTGAAATAGAGTTTCATCCTAAGTTTCATTTATGGTTCTGGTAAAAATTCCCAGGGTGAATGAGAAAATTGCTGAACCCCTCTGTGAGTCAGTTGCCTCATACGCAAAATAGAATTAATGAAGCTTGGTTGTCATTAAGGCTTCTTAAGATCTTCAGATGAAAGATACCGCATGCATTCATCCAACACAAATTATTCCCCAGTATGCTATGAAAGACTCTCAGAAGAGAAAGATCTGGTCACAGCTCAGAAGTGTACTTAGAAGAAAATGGTAAGTCACTCCAAAAATATATATGGTGTAGATGTCTATGTTTGAGAACAGTGGTCCCGAGAAATGACTGGGAGGATCCTGGAAAGCTAAGTTTGTTTCTGGCTCTGCCAGTTTGGCAGGGGACCTTGATGTCATACCTGGCAATCTCATTTTCCCCATTAGTGAAATGGAGTGGCCCCATATTGCTTTCTGTGATTTTCCTGCTCCAGAACTTTCATTGGGCCTCCTATGTTGTGCATGAAATCCTCAGCCTGGAATCTGGGCTTCCTACGGATCTCCACGCCTCCCTTTTCAGACTTTTCTTCCGGTGTTCCTCTTCACTTTTTCTCAAAATGGAACGCCCATGGCTGATTCCTCTTTGGTTAAGATGATTTCCACCCATGCAGAACAGCACCTCTCTGCCCCTCTCCACCTGTGAAGTCTCTACTCTCCCACGAAGGCCCCTCTTCTTTGAGTGAAGGGCTTGATTCTTACTGGGTTCTGGATCCCTTTTAGCCTTTAACAAAATATTTAGCAAAGTACTTGCCTCACATGCATGAGAAGAACAATATTCCCATTTCCCTTTCAATGCTTTAGACATCCAAAACCTTGGGTCTGTTGTTTGTCCATAGTAAATTAGTAATTTCCCGTTATTAACCATGAAGAATACTTTTCTACTACTCCACTCTCCAAATGCTTCAGTTCAGCAAAACCATAAACTGTGTTGCATGCATCATTCACAGAAGTGACCATGTCCTTCCCACCTCTGTGCCTTTGCTGGTGCTGTCCCACCTTCCCTATCCTCTCCTCGGTCCTCTCCCATCATGACCCAGCCTGGAAGACATTCTCCTTCCAGGCCAGTTTCCTATCTCCTGCGTCCCTTCTAAATTCAACTTGAGCATCATGCTACTTCTTTGGTAGATACAAAAGGAACTGAGTATGGGTTCTTCCTACGCAGAGTTTGCAATTAAGAATTGTTGATGCAAGCTACAGATAGTGGCGTGTGCCTGTAGTCCTAGCTAACTGGGAAGCTGAGGCAAGAGAATTTGAGTTTAGCCTGGGAAACATAGTGAGAACCTGTCTCTAAAAAGAAAAAAAAAATGTTTAAGGAATTGTTGATTGAATAAGATACTCAGGGTATTTTTAATAGTTGAATGATTGAGCGAATGTATAAATGGAAAAACACAAATAATTTAATTCAACAAACATAAGTGCCTGAAGAGATTCACAGATAAGGTGCTATGAAAACTCAAAGAATCCTGATGCAAAAGATGTCTTCCTGCAAGGGATTCAGGGAAAAGAGGTGACACGTGGCCTGGGTCCTTAAAATTTAGCAGAGTTGGCCAAGCGCAGTGGCCTATACCTGTAATCCCAACATTTTGGGAAGCCAGGGTGGGTGGATCACCTGAGGTCAGGAGTTTAAGACCAGCCTGGCCAACATGGTGAAACCCCATCTCTACTGAAAATACAAAAATTAGCCGGACGTGGTGGCATGTGCCTGTAATCCCAGCTACTCAGGAGGCTGAGGCAAGAGAATCGCTTGAAGCAGTGAGCTGAGATTGTGCCACCGCACTCCAGCCTGGGTGACAGAGTGAGACTCCATCTCAAAAAAAAAATGTGGCAGAGTTGGCAGATGCCACTGCCATTGAGAGCCCCGTACTACAGCCATGGTCAACCCCAATGTGTTCTTTGACATCACTGTCAATGGCAAGCCCTTGGGCCACGTCTCCTTCAAGCTATTCGCAAACAAGGTTTCAAAGACAGCAGAAAACTTTCGTGTGCTCTGAGCACTGGAGTGAAATGACTTTTTTTTTTTTTTTTTTTTTTTTTTTTTT